CCACACCCACAGGTGACACCGCGATTTGGAGAGGAGTAAGTCAGTTAGGAGTAAGATATTTTAACTGGCTAAGAGCAATTGATTGTGGGACTTGCAATGTTTAATACTTGAGAACAGTTGAGTTTGATGCTCTTCTTGAACAACAACAACAACAACAAATTACATTTGTATAACACTTTTCCCATCGGGAGGATGTCCCAGGACACTGATAATTCTGGGATTATCTGAGAATTTGGGGATATCCTGGGATATGAAGACCAGTGATCAACTGAGACTGAAGTTAATATTTAAGATGGTTCTGACCAGATTCAATAAGCTACAACACGTTTGCTCATGGATCATGAAATTAAAATCTGACTTTGTATTGTGCAATTACCTGATTTATTCTCCTTGAAAGTGCAGTGTAAACAAGGCATTAAAGATCCATGCACTCTTCAATAGTTAGAAAATAGTGGAGGTATTTTGTGTGTTGGTCAATGCAAAGATCATTACTGTCCCTTGCTCTATTGCAAAGTAGACTCTTTCTCGGTAAATCTGAGGGAATTTCCTGATATAGTAGCACATTGAAGAAAGCATTGTAAAAATAATAAAATAACAATCCTTGCCTTTGATAGAACACCTTATACAAATATCTTAAAGTGCGTCAGTTTTCGCTAAAGTGTAGCGACTATGTTTTTGTAGGCAAACACGGCAGCCAATTTTCACACACCATGTTCTACAAATATCTATGAAGTGAATGATGAATTCTAACTGAAGCATTGGCGGCCAGGACACTGGAACAAACTGCCTTCTCTTTTTCAATAGTATCATGGGATCTGTTACATCCTCCTGAACAGACAAACAGGGCCTCACTTTAACATCTTATCTGAAGGAAGAAGGAAATGGATGTGGATGAAGTATTTGTGCAGTGGTTACAGTGACCGAGCACCTCGAAACAATCCAGCTGAAAGTATTTGGTCTTTATGAATTAGTTGGGACGTTTTGGATCATTTAACAGGAAACTCTCCCCAAACGGAGAAGTCATCTATCTAAGATTGTCTCTTGTTGACTAGTCTTAATGGCCTTGCTTGTAAGGCGTTACCCTTGAATGAGGGAGAAACACTAAGAAACACTATTTCACCACAGTTTTACTAGTAGTGGAGAGCCTTCATGCTATGTTTCCCATACAACTGATTGAAGAAAAGTTTGTATAGATCACTGTCTTGTGTGTAATCTGATCAAACTCATGGGACTTCTCATTAGTTTGTTGGTCTTGACACTGATCAATGTAAGAGCTTGTAATGATGCATCATAATGAATGCAACAAGAAGTGAATCTAGCAGGTCTCAGGTTAAGAGACTGTAAAGTACTATCAGTAAATTCTTTCTTGTAATGAATGAATGTCTGTACAAGAGGATTGACAATATCTGCTAGCTTCAATTGGATCATGCACAATGCTTGTTCAGTCTTGCAAAGTTTTATCTGTTTCATTGGGCTAATGCTACAAATCTGGTGATTTGTGGATCAGGTAAAGATCCCACTGCACTATTTTGAAGAAGAGCAGGAAGTTCTCCTAATATCCTGACCAACATTTATCCCTCATCTAATTTCACCAGAAGGAATGCTCATAAGTAGGTCATTCATCATTGCTGGTGTGGGATGTTCCATTAGCTGCCACACTTGCCTACAAACCAACAGTCCAGAAGTTGCTCATTGGCATCTAAAAAGCTGTTCAGTTGCGTCAACATTGTGCGATCACTGGGAAAAGCTCTATCGGTATTGAAAAAAAATCCTTCTATTTGATCTAGTGCCGTATCACATCATTGAGACATCTCAAAGCACTCACAGGAATTACTGTAAAATGTATTTTGTAGGTGAACATGGCAGCCTATTTGCACATAGCAATATCCCACAAACACCCAGGAAGTGCCCAGGACACCAGAAGAAACTGCCTTCTTGTTTTGAATAGTGCCATGAGATGTTCAGCGCCCATCAGAAGTGGCAGACTTGAGCAGCATTTTCTTCTACAGGACATAGAATGACGAAAGTTTGTCTTTCTGAGACTTCAGATCGCAGGCAAAGCCTAACCCTAACCCTTGCAAGGCTGAGTGATGTGTATGTTTTCAATGGAGAAAACCCTCTATGTGTTAGAGATGCTTTGGCCTATTGTATTGCTCAAATAAAATACAGTACTTCATCTCAGATTTAAAACGCACAGACCCCATTGTATTACCCATCTCATTGTTTTTGTTTCTCTGGGAGATTTTAAGATTTGAGAAAGTCTAATTAGTCTTGCTAATATGCTGACATTCTGATACATAAGGCTCCTGGTTCACTGGTTGTGAAGTGGCACTAAGGGAAGCAGAAAATTAAACTATTTATTTATTCCTGTATTATGCAGCAACTCCTGTGAGCATTAGCATCAATTGATAATCTGTACACATTAAGAACACAGTGCTGAGAATAATAAACCTTGCATTTTATATAGTCTCATTACATTGTCGGGGTAAATTCCCAGAATTTACTGTATAAATGTAGTCGCTGTGTGTTTGTTCCACAAACAATAATAAAGTGAATAACCAAGCAAGAATCCTTGACATTGGGTATTAGAATGTTGACATTGGATGATTATAAGGAATTCTGGTGACTGTTTTCAAATATCCTGTTCTGAAGAATATTCTTCATTTGAAGTTGGAACTCAAATGTCTCCAAACAGCTATATGGATTTGCCTGGATCTTCATTGCTGAGAATACTCTCACAACACTTCAAAATATCTTGTTTTCTTCCAAAACTGAGGGACAACAGTGTGACAGATAAACAATAGCCTGAGCAAATGGCTCGTCTAAAATAGGAGAAAATGTGCTGATACTGTTTCCATCCTGACCTGGTTAGTTAGCTGACAAAATAGTTTGCAGATAATAAAACTGAGCCGTGGGGTTAAATTCGAAGAGGGTAAGTATGTTAAAAGAGCCTGCTGTAAATCTGGTGTGTTGGTCAAACCCTCGACTTTCCTGTCAGCAGGTAAATGATCGATTTGCACGGATGCATGAGTCACAGGGCGCAATCTGGAGATCATAAAAGTGTACATGGAGATATAAATTATGCATCAATTCTTACACTACATGATTTACGCAACCAAATGGGATGCATTTTAAACAGATTACTGGTTTGTGCATTTTTTGAAATATGAAGATAGCACAATCTTCATTATTTGTCTTTAATCCCCAAACTCCACATCAGTTAACAACCTATTTTTCCTATAGTATTTAATTCAATGTGAATACTTGCAACTTGAGGGCTACAGTGCTTCCGCAATTTCCTTCTTGCTTATTGTACATAGGAAGTGATTTGTACTTTGCTTTAATTTCATTCTGTAATGCTGTTTTCCAAAAGCAAATGATGTTCAAATGGAAAATAAGATATTCCTGCATCTT